TGGTGACGTGAAGTCATGTGACCGTGCTGTAGTTCCTTTATAGCCCAACATTAGCCTCCTTTAGCTTGGCCTACATGTAATATTGACGTCTCAAATGATCAAGTATTAGAGAAGTGGATAATTTGAAAAATAGATTAATCTGCCAAGGGAAGTATCGTAGCTGAATCTACTGTAACAACTTATTACTCAGTACACGCAACTGATTTTGGAGATTAAAATAATTTAATTATGGAGAATCATTTAGTTGTTTAGTTGACCGTTTTAATTGACAGTTATAAAATAAATTGCATTGTATCACCACTAGCCGGAGAACATAAAAAAAAAAAAAAAGAATTAATATATTGAAGAAAAACATATAACATATATTTATCCTTATTGTGGGTGACATCAAAGTTGAATCACACAATACCAACATGTTTTTTCCTCTACAATTGATCCAGAAAGTTGCAGTTTACTTTCTCTCTCTTCCATGCAGCTCTAATCCGCCTCATCCTCCCCTGGAGAACTGGCTCCCTGTGGCCCTTAACTCTGATGCCGGTTCACAACGATAACCAACATCTCTCCATATCCCGGTGCCGAGCCTCAGCCCGGCCTACAAGCTAGAATAATAATAATATATAATAATAATTTTCCTGCAGCGGTCATCGCTGCAAGAAGCCTCATCTCGACTTCCTCATGGCCAGCGGAGGAATCAGAATATTTCTTTGATCGAGAACAGATCCTGATTTCAAGGTTTCTTACCGAACAGGGAGCTACTGAAGAAATCCCAGGGTAAACTGGAATCCGGTTCTTTGCGGCCTTCCAGATCTGTGAAATATTCTGTGGGGAAAAAATCAAAAAGTGTACATGTCAACACTTTTGGATCTGCATCATGTTTAAATCTTAAAGAAACAAAGACAAGGCTTCACATCTGACTGTTTGGATAACTGGGATGGTTGTCTGAAAACAATAGACAATACAAAAAGCCAGGGTTGTATTGAATAGTTCAAAGCTCAACGATTAGGCTATAATACATTTAATTTGTATTATTCTATTCGTTAGAATTAGATTACAGTGTTGTCTGAGTTTGATTCTTTCCAACGTGTGCGATCCAAACATTTCAAGTAACTCTAATAACAGTGTAATTAAATCCAAAAGGCAAAATGTACTGAACATTTACAAAACATGTTTTTATCCAATGACATGTTCTGCCTGAATCCATAATTGTAAGCGTTTTGCCTTTCAAAAGTGTCATTGCAGTAAAAACCCTGATGGCTCTCCTGCTTTCCTCACAGAAAAGGAGGCACACGTCTGAAGCATTCAAAGATAGCAGCTCTCAAATATCACCACTATTAACAGTAAGATTTATTTTGATGACTGATGATGCCATTCAAAAGGAGAGACATTCACTGGAAACCAAAAAACCTTTAAATGTAAAAACAAATACAAATGATAAATCCCTACAAATACCATTACTGCGTTAGTTCCCGAGCTTTCATCTCTGTATTTACCTGAGATCCATGATGTGACTGACATACTCCACTAAAGACTGATGCAACAGTCAAGTAAATAGAGACAGAAACACTCAACACAACCTGGAAAGATCCCTAAAACGGTGCAACACTAGCAACAATGGCGGCAAAATAAGTTAAAGAGCTAAAAGGGAAAAAAAGAAAAAAAAGTTGGATTGAAGATTTTCTAAAAGGTCTAAAATATTGAGGAAATGTTCGAGGAGGCCAGATGTGTAAAGAATCACTTTGCCTGTCTTGATGATGAGGGCTGTGTTTGTTCTGAAACCCCCAGCCTGCAGCGCTCTGAGGACGGCTGCTAACAAACATGAGAATGCAAAAAAATCCGATCACAGTGTAGGCTGGTCTTTTCTTTGTTCAATTATTTGATAATAATGTATAAACTACAAGTGCTCTTGTAGATGATTGAATACAACTCAGATTGTTTTTTGTTACACCCCAATAATTATCATCAATTGTAACATTTTCAGCCGCTAAGTTTAAAGTAGGGATAACACTGTGGGGGAGGAAGGGTAAAATACGTCACAGTTAAGTGGTTTGATGAAGAGCATTCTCAACTCAAACCATTAACAAGTCTTCAGGGAGAGATAATATTAACTATGCTGCTCTGAACGTAAAACCAGTGGAAGGCAGCTCGACGGTGACATTTAACTCGCTAAAGCTCCTGTTTGTTTCAGTAGGACAGCATTTTGAACAACCAAACCCCGATATGAGACAACAAAAACAATGGCTCAGACATCTCTGTGCGGATATAACGTTTCTCATGTATGCTGCATGCAAGCTGTTTATTGCTCACTGTGCCAAAATGTGATGTGTAGTGAGTTGGCGCAGAGCTTATTAATGTGCTGTTGTTTGATGAGTGAATGTAAAGTTGGCAAATACTCAGTTTTATTATTTATTTTCATGTATCGTTTCAATTATCCCTAATGCAGCTTTACAGCCGTGGTGTCATTGTGTCTGAAGTGTTTGTGGCTAATGTGAAAAATGAGTTATCTAACCATTTAAAAATATGTTTATTTATCCAAATAGTTACTGATTGAGAAGGAGGTTAATATAAAAGGTGAACTACCTGTGAGGAAGGTCTTCATGCTGGGGCTGTGAGCCAGTTTGACGGGAGTGTGTCCAGAGTAGGTGGCCAGAGTGGGGTCCGCACCGTGGTTCAGGAGCAGCCAGACGATGGGGAGGTTATCACTCGCTACGGCATCATGAAGCGGCCTGAAGGAGGAACAAACAAAATGTCTTTCAGCAATTATAAAACTTCAGAGCACTCGCTATGTCAGATGTGTTGTATGTGAAGTATTACCACTTTAAAATCATCGGACCAAGATATGCAACCACTATATAATCCTCAACATGGTCACATCTTGGAAAAATACAATATGTTCATCCCAATTTAAAGATTATTTCTAAATGCCTGCATGGTCATACTCCTCCCCCGCTTAATGAATTCATTAGAATAGACCAGCAGCACACCACTAGAATCAACACAAGGACCTGAGTAAATGTTAGCTGTCAAATGGCATTACAAAAAAACCTCTTTTGGACAATCAGTGTTCTCTGTTAAAGGAGCAAAGTGAGTCAGTTGCTTTGGCTCCTTACTGCTCCCACCACCTGTAGAGAGTGTATCTTTTCAGGAGAGCGAGTTTCATAACAAGACACATTTTGAGGATGTTTAAATAAAAAATGTGCACAACTCCTTTAAAAAGATACTAACATTACATGTATTAAGGTCAACTATATATATGTGCAATATTCAACCACTTAATATTTTAGAAAGCTCAACAAAGACTGTAAGATATGACAGATGCCAAGTAAACCAAAATTAGAAACTGATTGTTTAGTTACACATGCGGTTTCCAAGGTAAACACATACACACCCATGATAAAACTCACATTAACTTTCTCAACAACTATTCATTCATCATTTTATTATGATTGTAAATCCTAAGAAGGAGGTTTCATTATAAGCATATTATGCTAATAAACTAAACATACATATTTAAATTCAACTTGGATTCAACTAACTAAAACTAACACTGTGGACCGTGCCCATGAAGCCTCACCGTGTCCCGTCCTGAGCGCTACAGTTGACGTCCGCGCCGTGTTGCAGCAGCATCTGGACGATCTGAGTCCAGCCTCTGGAGGACGCCTCATGGAGAGCCGTGTAACCGGCATTATCGCGCCGGTTTACCTCCCTGATGTCCTTTTCAAGACAGTACTGAACCACATCCTGTAGAGCAGAGGAAGCACATTATGATTCAAACGGTTTGCAGTTTTCTGGAGTAACATTTTTGTTAACAATACTAAACAAGTGGGTTTTACCTGATAGCCCAAGCGTGCGGCCCGCTGCAGCAAAGTCTCCCCGGCATTTTTATTGACAATCAGCCGACGGACCTCAGGAGGAACAGGTTTTTTGGGCGGAGACTCAGAGCCGCTGATTCTGCCCGACGAGCCTTTCTTAGTTGATGGAGATAATGGCAAACTTTTTGGAGTTGGTGGGGGGCTTGCTGTTCTTTTGATATCCACACCATCATCCTCCAGGGGAAGTGATGCTGCACGCTTGCCCAAGCTGCTGCGTTTGGTCTTAATCTGAAATATAGATTTATTGATTAGAGGGTGTGACAGTTAAGGCAATGACTTCCACTCTTCTTTAAAGCCAGCTGCCATCATAAATGTGACACACATGGCATTTATCTAGCCACAGGGGGGCACTGTAAGCTAATATATTCATGGCACATTGTAGTTTATTCCTATCACCCCTGTATGGTTTAAAATGAACAGTAATCTAACAAGCAACCTCAGCAAAGGACTTACCTTTTGCTCATCATCACCCAAGTGCTTGCTTTTGAACTTCCTCTTCCCTGCAGGCTTGTCATTGCCCTCCGGTGAGACCTCGCTCTCCTGGTAGCGGATCGAGCCCGAGCGAGTGAACGCGGGTTTCCTTGGAGGGGGCTCGGGACTGTTAGCTGTGGGACTCGGACACTGATCCGCCTGTGGATCTGGAATTAGAAATTAGATCAGTGTTAACAGATCAGAAGAAAGTATTCAGATTTTTGACTTAGTAAGGTAATATTTAGACACTGTGAAAATATTGACTACAAGTTTAAAGGCCTGTAATGTAACTGAACAAATCATATATACCTATAAACTGTTGGGTAGTTTAAAAGGTAAAGTGCAATTTCCTCAAATGCGTACTCAAGTGCAATACTAGAGTAAATATACTTAGTTAATTCCACCTCTGGATTGGAGGTTAGGCTGAGACGTACCAAACATATAAACACATTGAAAATCCACAAACAATCGTAATATCTCATCATCTCAAATGTTATCTTTCATATAGTGGATCTGTTATGGAGCAGCTTCTCACTCTTGCTCATCTACCAAGCCGAACATGGAGAACGGAATATTTTAGGGGCCGTTTTGTGGCGACATCAGACAGCATGGGGCTTCCTGAACCAATGGCCCTTAGCTTAGACATCATATCGGCTGAAATAGGGTGACTGCTGTCTGCGAGATACTCTGCTCTGCTTTCTGCAATATCGTACTCATGTTTGCCATATTTCTGCATATTCTTCACATATAGGCCTGAGGATGTAACAGGTATCTGATGTGCACACAGGTGGCACCTCGAGGAGATACACAGATATGCGTACATATGCTGTCTTCATTATCTTGGGTATTTGTATTATGGTAAATGTATCGCAGAATGTATCTTTTTTTAAATTCATAATGCTTTAGCCTTGTACCTTTTTTTACATTTCATTAGATTTCATTTAGCTGATGCTTTTATACAAAGCGACTAATATAGAAACTCAAAACAGCACGAAACCCAGTGGCGGTTCTAGAACATTTTACATGGGGTGGCAAAGGGGGGGCAAGAGGTCATTGGGAGGGCGGGCAGTACGTGGTATTTTATACTGTATATATAACCTATTTATTGTTAAATCATGCCCTAACACAAGTGTTCGTAATGCACAAGAGAAACAAGGTGTTCAGACAAACAAACTCAAATATAGTATAAAACAGCAGAAAGTACTCATGATTCCCTAGATTTCTGTTTACTGTAAGTACAGTAAAAGTACGTAGTTATAATTAAGTACACAAATAACATCACCCATCTCTTAAGAGAGCTAAAGGTGACCTGTGCAGCAACACATTTCAACATGTGTCAATACTAAGAGCTGCTAGATTGCTGCTGTAATGGAATATGTATGAAAGGAGAATAAGAACATACCATGTGGTCCAGCTGGAGTCTCCTCTGCCTCCTGATCCCTGCCTCTGTCCCTCTTCCTGACACTTCATCTTTATTCCTCACATACATTTCTTCTTCTTCACTAATGTCTTCATCTCCTCCTCTTCCTCCTGCTCTGACCCTCCTGGTCTCTTCATCTCCTCCTCTTCCTCCTGCTCGGACCCTCCTGGTCTCTTCATCTCTCTTTTCCTTTTCCTCTTTCTGTTCGTCCTGATCTCTTCTCAGATATGTCTTTTTGTTCTTGTTGAATCACTCCAGCTACTCTAGCCTGCAAGAGTCTACTTGTGAAAAGCACTGGTACAAATTCTTGTATAACTTTACACGTTAGGGCCATGTAGCTGATAAGTAGCATAGCCTATAATAAATATAAAATCAGAAAGTATTGATCAAACGCACAGGCAGCTGTGTTGAGATCCAGTTTGACGGTAAAGGATGTATCCTGGTTTCATTAATCAGCCTATTGCTGTGATGTGTAATTTACGTGGATTTAATAGTACCGCATAGTTTAGCAAGTAAAGTGATCGATCTCCCAGCTGGCGCTGTCTGCGTAGTATTTTGTAACGTAACGTCCCAAACAGCGACCTTCTGTTAAACGCTATCGATTCAAACTGCAGCGTTTTATAAAAAAAATATGTCAATGTCAATCTCTGATCTTTAGTAAAAACAAAACTAGTGGAAGGGGAAATGCTCCCAGGGGAATGTGATCCACCTTCAGGTGCTGGGACAGCTCGCTCCCTCTCTGAAGCGGTGTGAGCCACGGTCTGTGTGAACGCCGCTCCGCAATTTAATGCAGGGCCGTAGCTACGTTTTTAACAGGTATTTAAAATGACTGTGTTTTAATTAAAACACTGCTTGTTTCGTTGCTTGAGAAGCTTGTGGACATAGTGTAGGTTTGTTTCTACAAGTACAGTTTTAGGGACACAAAAGTTAGGGGGATGCACTGTTGTCTCTTCTTTGAGAAAGTCTCTGTTGTTATAAATGACAAATGCAACACTTTGCACAAACAGGTCATCGCGCAAAACTACAAAGATCATTTTCACGTTCTTTATGCCGCTACTTTTAATTTAAATATTCAAATCTCACACTGCACTGTAACTTTTATTCATGTCCTGTTATTCATGATTTATTGTCTTTGCTTTTTAATGTTTCTAATGTGTTTTAGGCTCTTAATGTCTTTCAGGGTTTGTAAAGCACTTTGAATTGCCTTGTGTAGAAAAGTCTGGATAAATAAACTTGCCTTGCCAAGATCAAAACCCTCAATACAGCAGGCACAATCATAATACATAATAACAATACAAACATGAGAAAAAAACATATATAAAAAAACAACAAATAAACCTGCATACATAATAACAACTATGGGGAGAAAATAATAAACCAAGGAATCAAGGTAACAAGGTACGATAGTTTAGGGGACTTGGCCTTGAGGATGTTGTATTAAGTAACACTACAGTACAAATGCAACACTTTGCACAAACAGGTCATCGTGCAAAACCAATACAAAGATAATTACCAAGATCAAAACCATCAATGCAGCAGGCAAAATAACAAATAATCATTCACAAATTAGAAAAAAATCCAATGAATCAAGATAACAAGTCACAATAACTTAGGGGACTTGGCCGTGATGATATTGTATTCACTACAGTACAAATGCACACGCACATGTTATTTCCATTTACCTCCATTGTGACCGTGACTCATTTGATCGACGTGTATTTCTGTTATTTGATCATAACGTATGTATTTCCCCTAATCCTTCTCTCATTCACCACATCCTTCATTTGAGTTTCATTCTGATTCGACATTTTTCCTTCACCGTGTGCTTTGGCAATATCTTTCACCCCTCACTGATTCTTGAATTTGGATAAAACAGATTTTACATTTGAAAAAAATTCATATTAAATGTTAAGAAATCTAAATGCATTTGTTTATAGAACAAGGTGTCAGCAATATTTCGGGGCAACCTCCTGATTTGGTCCGTTTTTCGTAAATTGTGTTTTTTTCCAGTCTGAGCTAAATGTTCCTATTTATGTTGTCTTAGATTTGGAGCTTATACATATTGACTATTTCACCCTTTTGCTTCTCTTCGTCCCCACGTCTGCTCTTTGAATCCTGTCATTTTACACCCTTATGCAACTTCCTTTTCACCTCCTTCTCTCTCCATATTCTCAGGTTGGACAACACCCTGGAGGAAATCATTTTCAAGCTGGTACCTGGACTCAGAGAAAGTGAGTTTGCCAGATGGTTTCATCAATCTGTCTCCTCAGTTTGACGTCCATGTTTAATTATGCGACTGTTCACTGGGGGTTGGAAAAATAGTTCACTAAACGACAGAACAACAGAAAATCACATAATTTATATTCAAGCTAGCCAACATTTTATTACTACACACAAATGGCCTTCAACATGTGCACTAGTTGTGACCCAGCACTTTATTATATGAAGTTGAACCAGCGGGGAAAACCCAAATAAAATATGGGTAATGAAAGAACACTATCATATGAATTGAGAGTATTCCTGTAACATTACAACAGGTCTGAAGAAAAGCAAAGAAAATAAGTGCAGGGATGAAACTTAAAACTCTGAAATGAATCAGCATTTTACCACTTCCTGTCCCCCGGCCTCAAACTCAGTGGTTTTTATAAATGTGTTTGAGGTCAGATTCCTACAAAAAGGTCTGTGGTTAACACAAGCTGAAGATATTTCTGTTCTACAACATCAAATGAGTCAGTAAATACCCCACTGGTAGATTATAAAATAGTGGTTGCTAACAAGTGTCTAAATGAGACGACTAAACGTCATCAAGCCCAACATTAGCCACCTTTAGCTTAGCGGTTGAGACGTGAAGTCATGTGACCGTGCTGTAGTTCCTTTATAGCCCAACATTAGCCCCTTTAGCTTAGCGGTGGTGACGTGAAGTCATGTGACCGTGCTGTAGTTCCTTTATAGCCCACGGTGGTGACGTGAAGTCATGTGACCGTGCTGTAGTTCCTTTATAGCCCAACATTAGCCCCTTTAGCTTAGCGGTGGTGACGTGAAGTCATGTGACCGTGCTGTAGTTCCTTTATAGCCCAACATTAGCCGCCTTTAGCTTAGCGGTGGTGACGTGAAGTCATGTGACCGTGCTGTAGTTCCTTTATAGCCCAACATTAGCTTTTAACTTAAAAAATACGTTATCATTGCACCACTGTATTGCGGCAATATTAAATATCCGACACATTCATACATTAAGATTCTCCCAGCACATTTTCTTTTAAATTTGTCTCAACAGTGTCCTCATTGCTATGTTAACAGATGGCAAACATTTTGAAAAATATACATTTCAGGTCCTTCTGTACAAACTCACTTTGCTAGGACACATCTTGCTTCAAATTAAAAACAATTATAACTTGCTGTTCACACTGAATATAATCAGATTCAATGGCCTCCAATGTTAGCTTTTGTCCCTCCAATAGCTCTGTACTCCTCCTCAGGTTTGATCCAAGAAGCCAGCTAACTTCATCTGTGATGGTGCTTCAGTTTTATGACTCCATAACTTCCCGCTGCTTGACGGAGCAAACATCGTATATCTTAGTGAGGCCAAGTGGTGTAAAAATAAGCGTCATAGCATTTCTGATTAATGGTTTGTGAGAGTAATACCCAATGAAGGATCAGAATCAGCCGTCTGTCTTTATAGGAATTCAGTGTGAATGCTTCTCTGTGTGTCTCCATGCTGCTTTTTAACACTTCCTGTTGCTTATGTAAAACAAGGAGAGGAACAGCAGGAGCTGGAGTTCTGGAAGAAGAACCAGCCCAGAGAGAACGGTCAAGGTGAGAGGATTTAGATTTTATACGATGTGTGTTTTGATAAATACGGTCGCTTTACCACAGACTTAAATCCTGCGAACAAATACTCTTAAGGGATTTTTCTTCCTGCCATTAGCGGAGGAGGCAGACATTAAATCAATAGATTAGGGGAGTTTTTTATTACGTTTTGACTAAACACACACACACACACACACACACACACACACACACACACACACACACACACACACACACACACACACACACACACACACACTCATATTCCCCTGGAGATTTAGAGACTGACTTTTTCACTTATGTCAACCAACGTATCTGTATTTTGTAAACCTGACAAAAACAGTCCATAATATATTTCTATTTATTCTATATTGTGTGTTATTTATACCATAGCTATAGTGTATTCATTTTCTAAACTGCTGTTTGTATTCAATACTGTCAGATGTATATTCGTATACTATACTAAAGATCACTATGCACTTTATTAATGTTTTGCACTTCTGGTTGGATGTAAACTACATTTTGTTTCTTAGTCCTTTGCAATGACAGTAAAGTTCAATCGTAATCTTAATCTAATTGTCATATTGTGGGCTTGTTTATGTAAATATGGGGCATACAGGGTGTCCGCGGGGTCTCAAAAAGTATTAAAAGTTGATAAATCAATTTAGCGAAAATGAAGGCTATTAAAAAGTATTAAACATCATTTTCCAAGGTATTACATT